TACCATTGGGTTGTAAAAATGTTGTGCTATCACAAATTATGCTCACATTTTGTCAAAACTTTATATATTTTTTGTTATAACTATACAAAAAATTGAAATTTATTGAGTGAAATTTTACATATAAAATGAATGGGAAAATGGCGACGTCTGAATCTGACTACCCCTCAATCAAACAGGAAATGTTCCACACAAAGTTTCTCCAATCTAGATGAAACTCAGCAAGAACACCAGTATAATGTTTAGGAACAGCCACATATGCTCACATTTTGATAGTTTGTCTTGTAAGGAGAGATATAGGATAAGCCCATTGCTGCCCTGTATAAATGAATTTAATAATATACGGAGAAAATTGCTTTGTATACTAATCCGTGTCCACTCATTTCTGGACATGATGAGGTAGATGTAAAGAGCTGAATGGGCCAGAAGCAAATTTTCCTATAATATGCATTATGCAAACTTGGATGGACATGGAAATGCTTACTGGACATTTTTGTATTTACAGCCAGTATTGCAATTTGATCTTTGCTTGCACGGAGAAAATAAAGAAATACCCCGTCTACAGCTATTCTACAACATTGTGTGGCTTAATAAAAATCAGTTAGATACACATACAGTGTTGAAAAGGTCTATGGGGGTTAGAATTTTTATACTCTGCATAATTATAGCAATTTTATTCTTGATAAAATATTTAGCGATGTTGAGATACAGATAAAAGAGTGCATCTCTGATCTTCTAGCTGTTTAAGATGTTCTAGCACTCAGATCTAGTCACACACTTGACTGTTGTAGCATACTATCTATGGTTGTAGAGTGCTTTACTTTTGAGGAGCAAAGCTTGTGGTTATTGTGAACTAGCATGTTAGCTGCAAAATTAAAGCTCTATAAATATTTGCTCAGTGTGTGGTGTCAAATTTGTGACCATTATTGTTTGTTTCAAACTTTGGTTACATGTATTTACTCTTGAATTTTCTTAGGCATAAGACACTCCAAAGAAAGAAAGAGAAGGAGGCATAGCAGTGAAGTAAAGAAGAAAAAGTCTAAAAGTAGCAAGACTAAGATATTAAGAGAGAAAGTTAAAGGTAAATGTGTGTCGAACATTATACATGTACATGTACGTATCATAGTGCAGAATATTTTGGTAACATATTATGACTGATCAAATGGTTTTTGTGGTCATTATAAATGAATGGTTGAACAATGAGCATACAAAAAATTAAGTGCTTCTTTCTTGTATTATTGTATTAATGATTATATCTGGCAGGTATGACCTCTCACATAATGTTTATTTTGTTTACTATTAAAAATATTCGTACTTTGCATGTAGCTTATCTATGAAATTGCAGCCATCATTAACTTAGCTTGAAATATTGTTAAAAATTTGCTTGCATTATGAATTGTTTGCATAAAATATGGGTTGTATGATCATCTCTTTCCACTAATGCATGTTTATTATTGGTACGTGTACATGTACATTACTATATATCACTTCAATTTGGCAGAATTTTACTTTGGCAATTGGCGGTTTGCAAGTGAAATTGCTAGTATTTAGGCCACCTATTATTAGTGCGCATGCTGAGTATTACATGTACATGTGTATAGACAAAAGTGACCAAATTAAAAACCACTAATTTAAATTTTGCAGCAAATCACCAAAAAATTAAGTGTTGCCAAAATGAAGCACTATATGGTTTATATTCAAACAAGCCAATCACTAGCAGCATGTTAAATACTAGCAGGTAGTAGTATCATTTTTGTTGAAGTATTCCCTCACATTATTGTAAAATGTTCCTAGCTACATGTATGCCTTTAATTACAACTGGCATCACTAAATTAGCAGTAAGTTTTGGTATATTGCTGTCTTTCTAATGGTTTGGACACTACCTGGGGTGTTTTAATTGGTTTTGTAGTAAATGTGGTATATTTTGAGGGATGGTATAATTGTATAGCAATGAGATATGCATGTACTAAATTTAGAATTGCTAATATTTCCTTTTCACCTTGGATAAATAGGCATCATATGAAAATTTCTAACGTCTCAATTTTCTATTCTGTATTACATGAACCTTGAAAATTAAACCATTTTATGATAATAGAACATACATGTAAAGAGCAGTAAGTATAAACTAGGCCTTTATGCATTTTGGGACTATCTATAAAAAGGCTTGTTTGTGTCACTATCAGTATCAGACTCTAAATATTCTCATAGAAAAAATTACAGATGAAGATTATTTTATAAGAAGCACAGAGTTTAGGATGTGGCTCTCAGAAGAGGTCAGTCTGTGATGAGTATATTAAATTAGTTACATGTGTACAAAGCATGCATGTATGTTATCATAACTTTCTGTAGAGGAGCATATTCTTTAGTGATTTGGATTCAGCCCAGTCGCGAAAGCTTTTCAGAAAGTTTGTTAGAAGATGGAACAGTGGAAAGCTAAAAAAAGTGATGAAAATTAAACATGTAATTGATATAATCATATGCTACATGTAAATTTAGAAATATTACTCTGGAATACAAAGTTCTTCACTTAGACATTCATCACAAACAGATTATAAATGGAAAGTATGTTAAATTCAATAGTTACTTGTAGCTATCAAACTGGATTTACTGTAAACATAGAATAATTTATGGTGGCTTTAATTTGGCAGAATAAGAAAGTAATGTTAAAAACCAGCATTGATAGTTGTAATTTGAAGTTAGTAGCACACATGTAAACTGTAAAGTCAAAGCATATCAAATAAAAAATGAATAAAGGCAGTGAAGTTTCACTTATACAGTACTTCTTTTTTCTGTGTGGGCCAATTAAATTTTCAGCTGTAACGGAATGACACTTCAATGAGTTAGTCAGTTTTAGGGAAAATAAAATGCCATGTAGTAAATCAAATACTAATCGGGCAAATCCAGGAATTTATTACTTTCAGCTGATTTGACTTGATAAATAGAAAAAGCTTTTTATATCTCTCATGAATGAGCAATTCCATTTGTAATACATTACTTAATTCAAGCATTATTACTGTTTATATTACTATAATCCAATGTTTATGTATTCTTAGTGTAATACAATGTGTGCAATTATAATGTTTCTTAGTGCATATGCTGTCACATATTATTTACTGATATAAGGTATCTTCTGAAGATAAGGATAAGCTCACTAGTGTATGTGATCAAGTTTCTTCATGGACGTCTGCTAGTTCCTTTAAGCATGAGCAAGAACCCAGCTCATCAGTCATTGGCCCACGAGTTATTGGACCAGTAATGAAACCTGTGAGTTAAATGAATAAAACAATTCTTATTGAAAATTTGTTAATATTCTAAATTGCATGGTTTGAATATTGAGTGTAACTAGAAGAATATAAGATGTTTAGGGCTCTGCCCCTCACCATGCCCTGACATATACATGTAAAGAAAAACAATAAAACAAACTAACTCAGCATAATACATATTAGATAAAAACACAAAAATATGTAGTAATAAGTACATGTACATGCACAACAAATAATAATATGTAATACACTTATATACAAGAAGGGAGGAAGATAGAAAGATAGAGTTAATGAGACACATGCCCTTCAGCAAGCTTAGCAAGGTCAAGAGAGTTAAAAGAGTGTATGGGCTTGTGATATGATGACCTGGCA